AAAATCAGGAATAAGAGTGGGTTCTGAAAGCTGAAGTCTAATCTCCCATTTTCCTCTGCTCCTTTAAGACCTTCCAAATTCCTCTCATTCTCCGTGCTGAGGTCACCTGAACCCAGAAAAGTACTGACCCCATGGAAAAGCCAATGGGGAAGTGGAAGCTGTGGGAATAAAGAAGAGAAGAGGCTCACTTTCAGTTCACTTGCAGGCAAAGAAGCCTTGAATTGAGGCTGCATGGAAGGTGGCTCTGGTCTGGGCACTAGAGCCAGAATTATTTTCTCAGTCACCTTTAGAGAGCATCCTTTTCTCCTCTTGGGTGTGTTTTCTCATCTGTAACATGAAATGGAGAACTGAGATCATCCTAACAATCCCTCGCAGAGCTAAAGGACTCTGGAACTAGATAGCTCCGTGTTTTTTAAATGCTCCCTCATCTTAGATTCACCGTTGACGCTTCCCTCTCCTCACCTTCACATATCCAACCCATCAGCAAGTGCTGTTAATTGTAGTTTCAAAGTAGACCACAAATCCATCTCCACAACCCTCACAATTTCCATCACTGTAATTTCTCCTGGATGGCTGGGAGAGTGTCTTGCTTGGTCCCTCTGCTTCTATTCTTGCCTATTCTCTGCTCCAATTCATTTTCCCCATAGCTCCCCAGAGTGGCATTCTGGCACGTAAATCAATTCCAATGTCTTTTCATCGTATTGAGAGTGAAACTCTGAATCTATACTATAGCCATGGGCCCTACATGATCTGGCCTCTACCTGCTTCTATAATGTTATCTCAAACCCTCATTCTCCTCAGTGACTGTGAGTCAGACACACTGGTAACTCTTCCCATCCTTGAAAGCACTACACTCTTTTCCACCTGAGGGCCTTTACCCATGGCTATTATGTCTCACAGTCCTAATGAGCCTCACTTCTTACATATCAGCTCCTCAGAGAAACCTTCTCAGAACATGTTAAGTCCCCTTTAATTCCACTTCCCTTATTACCTATTGCTATAGTAGGTTCACTTATTCCTAGCACATCACAATTTATACATTCACAATTACTTCTTTAATGTCTGTTCATACCATTATAGTGCCTGCTCACTGAAGCAAAGACTCCCACCCCTCTTGCTCCATCATCAGTATATCTTCACATCTCAGCACCCAGTGCCATGCCCTCACATCATAGCCAGTTAGTAACATCTTTTGGATAAACGGGTGGCACTGGCCACCAACAGAACAAAAGGTACAGGAAGAAAAGTTGAGGAAACTGAAGGTAAATTTTGATTGCGGTTATTTTTTGTCTGTCATATATCCCTTCTCAAAATGTTCCTCTCTGTTGAAAAAAAGGAATCTAAAATATGTATTAAAAATAGATCTTTGGGCACAAGAAGCAGGCCTACAAGTCAATTCATGGATGACATTTTTATCTGTGATCACAGCTAAAGTGAATTTTAACTTTGAATGTTAAAATAGGTTACACAAAGCCACATTTTCACATACACATTTTAAAGGGAGGCGGGAGGCGTCTTTAAGCATTTCGGTAGTATTTATTGGTATACTATATTAAATGTGCCGATTACAGGTTACTTTATCTACTCACGGTGCTGGTGCAGAACACACTGACTTCAGGCACCTGAGACAGTGCTGCTGACTGACTCCCCGACATGCATTCCCATCCCTTCTACTCTGGAGTCTAGAGCACCCAAATTCTTGCCTCCTGGCCTCCCTTGCCACTAGAAGTGATCACAGGCCATGGTTCTGATTAATGAGATAGGAGTAGACTTCTGCTTGGGGTGGGGAGTACTCTGTTGATTAATCCTTTCTTTCCTGATCCAAAGAAATAGTAATGGCTGGCAACAGGTCTTCCCCTTCTTGCTGCTTGAATATGGACACAGCGCCTGGGCGCTGCCACCTTGTAAGCATGAAGAAAAGAGTCACAGGGCAACTGACACTGATGTCACTGAATCAAGCAAGAGCCAGTGTCTGCCACCACTTTTCTTGTAATGTGAGAAATGTAATTCTCTGTCTATGTTATTGTGGTCAGGTCATTTGGTTTCTTGCAGACAACCACATCTGGCCACATTTTGCTGGCTTTGGTTAACAGACATTAACATGAATCTAGAAGAGGTTACAAAGAGATAGAATGACTTGTGTATGAATGCAGATACAATTCAGATGAAACTTAATTCCCTCATTTTCTAAGTTAGTAAGAATTTATGGTATATTCTTTCAGTAATTAGCAAGAACAATTAATCAAAGCTCATTGGAAAAGGTGTTTAATATATGCAAGTGCCTTAAAAATGCTTTCCATCAAAGCAGCCACAATGTCTAACCTGGTGTCATGCACATCATGAAACTTTTTTAATTCATCAGGAAATGTGTATGAAATCTGCTAGTGTTTATAGTTGTCTGCTTGGTCTCTGGCCCAGATCACTGCTGAAGTATCTTTGTCTTTTTGTTTGGTCCTAGCAAGATACCTTTTCTCTTTAACATATATTTCCAAGGAATACTGTGATGTACATTCTGGCTCTTAGGGGGTTTTTATATGCCCCTCAATCTGGGATTGGCCAGGGCCAGCTCGATAAGAAAGAGTCTGCCTCACGTGGATAAAACTCCCTATTCTGTCAGGTTCACTCCTGTGTCTGTCAGACCCTTTAATCCACAATGACAGATCCTCCCACCTCCTGTGAGGCGGAGCCTCCGGAGTCCAGGCATTGCTGGTGTGGAGGGAACCTCTGCTGTTTCTGCTTTGACACTGGACTTTTTCAGAAGAGAGAGGTCTAGTGCCTGCTCTTGTGCCCAAAGCAGTGTAAGCACACTTTCTTCTAGGGAAGTGTGCTTCATAGAAGCCTAATGTATTAAATTGATAACATCATAAGAAACAGCCACTGCTTTATAGTGCTTCCCTTGTGCTGGCTGGAGACTGTGCTTTGGGTCTATATGTTCAATCTCCTAAACCTCACAACAGTCTTGGAGGTAGAAACTCTTATTTCCATTTTACCGGTGGAGAAGCAGAGGCATAGGGTGGAGTTGTTGTATTCGAAATTGGGACGAAGGAGACTGGGTATGTTCCTGTTCAGTCTCATCTTCACCTCAGTGTCAGTTCCTAAGATACCCTTATGGAACCCTCCGATGTCCGTCAGAAAACCCTCTTGCAGCCAGAGGTCACAAACTCAGATACCCTCTGAGCTGAGTAACAGAGCAATGGAAGGAGACAGATGGGGGCTGTGGTGACATGGGGAACCATTGTCAATGTCTGTGAAGGTCAAGCAACAACATGCCTGGCAGAACTCAGCTGTTGGCCACCAACTTGGGTCCTCTGGAGGAATGGTGGGGAGTCTCAGGCCAGACCACCGTGGTGCCATTAGGAGGTAAGATGCCCACTGAGGAAGGAAATAGTGGAGAAAAAACAAGCCTGTGGGTCTTTTGAGATACATGCATGTTTTGATGGCTCTACATTATACTGACTAGTTAAGAACCATTTCTTCTCACTGTTTATCCACTGGCCTGATTTATTTTTAAGTAAGCCCTTCTCCTGCTTGGTTCTGTCTACTCTTCACCATGTGTTTGCCAGTATTGGCCAAGTATCCAGTCTCACACCTCCTCTCCCATGCACCCCGCCCCCGGCTGTCTTCTTATTTAAAGAAAAACAAAATTATAATGGTGAATGATGAGACTAAATTATACAGCAGGCAGAGTGAGTCCTGCAGGAAGCTCCTTAGAAAGATTTTATTCCATTGCCATTTAGGAACACTAGTCTTCATCGACACTCAAATGCAAAATAATCTTAACTGTGGTAAAGGTATCTCCAGTGCATGCCCATGAGGCCTTGATATATACACAATTATACCCCCAGAAAGGGAGAGGGTGTGCAGATCGATCCATGGTAGCCAAATTCTTAACCATGCCTCCCTGCATGCTGCAGAAACTTGGTAGTCTACAAGGGACTGCGTACTGGAGAAAGAGTTCATAGACATGATGCCACTGTAAAAGGAGATGCAGTCAGTGCTTCCTTATCAGTGAAATCGGAGGAGATTTGTGGCATGAACATTTCAGAATGTACTTGAAAGAACATTACACACAAAGGCAGGATGTAAATAAATGTGGAAATTGGTCTAGATTGGTGGTTTTCAAATTTCTCTCCCCCACTTTCCCACCTTTCTTAGCTTCAGAATCTTTTTACACAAGAAATATCATTCACAAGTTGAATATATAAAACAGACAAAACCAGAGGTACTCTTGTTCCATGTGTGGGGCTGGAACCTCACTGATTTGCTCACCATAGTACTCAGTGTGATATCACAGGCACCTCTGAGAGCCCTCATTTCTGAGAGCCCAAGTTATCATCACCATTAGAACCGGGTTGTTTCCAAGGTCTTTCTTAAAACCAAGAAAAAACTTTTCTCTTTAAGATGAAGAAATTGAGGGTCAGGTGACTGGATGGGGGCCACATAGAGCATGCTAAAGCCCATTCATAATTCACGGCTCCTTCAGGATTCCAAAGTAGTACATGATGGTGGTCTGAATCGCAGCTCACCTAGCTACCAGCTGTTTAACCTTCCCAAAATATTCATCATTTTTACGGCTTCTCATTCATAAAAGGAGATCTAATGATAGCCCCACCTTATGCTTCTGTGAGGATTCAATGAGATAAATACACATGGAAGACTCAAAACATTGCTTGGTCTATAGCAAGTGGTCAATAAAAGTTGATTGTGCCATACTGTCCCCCTACCCTTTCTCTGTACCTTTCAGCTGCAAAACATCAGAGCTGTGATTATGCCTATTAATCATGACAGAGCACATCAGACAGATAGTAGACAGAACTGGCCCAGGCACAGGATGTGTCTAGACATTCCACTGCATGCAATAGATGGTTGACTGTAATACATAGTTGAAACACTGAGTACAGTGAAGTCCGTAAATAATTCGTATTCCTTAACTTTTCAGTATTTGCTTTTACCAAGAAAAATATAGCACTGAGCAAAGGGGTTGAAAAGAGCTGACTGACCTGGGAGAAATGTCACATCCTTGCTGCATAAAGGCTCCCAGGGAGAACCACAAGCTGTTGAATATCCCAAACTCATTGGATTGGTCACTGGTTGTCTGGTCCCGCCCTTCCTCAAACTCTTCACTGTGCCATTCGTAGGGGCTGAAGCGGCTGACCAGGAAAAGGACGACACTCACTCCAATGTAGGCAAACACAATGCACATCCAAATTTCATAAGCCAAAGGATCGAGAAAGGAGAAGACCCCTGGCTTGGACTTCTGTGGCTTTTTTATCATGATGGAGATCCCCAAACTCATAAATGGCTTGGAGAAGTCTATCACCTCTTCCCGGACCAAGGTAATAGTCAGAGGGGCCACGGCCACATCTGCTCTCTGCAAAAAAAGAAAGAGAGAGAGAAAGAAGGAATAAAATGCAGGTGAGTTCAGCAGTGTTCTATTCTCTTGTTTCTTTCTTCACTGTGAATATTTGTGTCTTAAAGGTTGTAAGTTTAAAAGAACTTTAGAGGTCCAACCCCTGCTATTCTCTATGGCATATTTATGACAAATGAGATCAGCTCCATATCTTACAGAAGTTATCCCATTGTTTAACAGTTCTAATTGTTAGGAGCACCTTCCTAATCTTACTAGAAGGGGGCTGTTGTGATACCTGTTGTTTTGCCTGCCCGGCGGCCAGGCCTCCTTTCTTAGCTAGAAGGACAACTTGTGCCCCACTTTCAGTCATCCTGGTTCAGATGCAGCTGATCACATGGTTATGTGGTAAAGCATACAACCTGGCTTTAGCCAACTCCCTTGGCCAGAATGAATCATTTAAAGATGGCATAGGACCCATGTTGGTTTAATGAGCATTAGCTCTGAGAGGCAGAGCGAGAGATACAGAGTGAGGGGTATAGAAGCTAACCCATGATGAAACATTTGGGGCTATCCTAAATTCAGGGGTTACCCTGGGCCCCTTAGCATCACATGCCACTATATTATTCTGTTTGTCCCTAAGAACACGAACAAGTCTTTCTGTTTGCCTAAGTCAGCTTGAGTTGGGTTTCTTTTACCTGCAACAAGATAATCCTGGGTAACAAGGTGGAGAAGACAGATTTAATTCAATAAACATTTATTGAGCATTTAATGTGTGTAAGCACTAGGCTGGAAGCTGTAGGTAAGCTACAGTCCCTACGCTGAAGGAATTACATGCTAGTGGGAGAGACTGGTTCACACACACACCTTTCAGTCTCTAAAGTAGGCTGGATATGTGCTATCCAAGAAATACAAAATGCTACAGGAGGCCAGGGAAGGATTCGTTCTGGCTGGGGCTTCATCATCAAGGAGGTGACATATAAATTTGGCACTGAAGAAGTGACATATAAATTTGGCACTGAAAGGAGAGTAGGATTTTGACAGAGTAGGATTCTGGCACTGAACACATTTGAGGAGGCAGGAATTATGTGAGTAAAGGCCTGGCAAAGAGAAGGAGAAGTAGCATTGCTTCTATTTTTTTCCCCTGGGAAGACTGCTAAGAAATACACAAATAATTCACTTTTTAAAATTTAAATCTGGCATGTAGATAAACATAAGAGGGTTGCAAGAAATGCTTAGCCTGAGGCATTTGGCGCATGGCCTCACCAGCCTTGCTCTCCTGTCTCTCTGGTTTCTCCCTAATGGCAGCAGCGCTAGCAACTATGCAGTAAAAACCCACTCTTCTATTGGCCTGAGATCAGGAGATCTGCAAACCCAAAGGGTCCTGTGGACAGATGCCACAACACTCATTTTTGAAAGGAGAGACTTGTCTAGGCAAGTCTGTGCGAGATGTATAGCTTTCTACTTTGATGCTGTGCAACAGTGCACGTGTGAGGCTGGTGACAGAGGTTGTGAGACAGGGGTCCCGCTTAGCCCCCCCCCCCCGCCCCCAGTGTTGCTTGGAGATTTCCTCTGGTTACTCTCATTGGCTGGGGTCATTGGAAGATGCTTTCAGTGGAATAACAAGCCTGGCTTCAGAATGGCTTAGGTCCTCAGTTATGGAAAGAAACTTTGTGTAGAGCAATGTGGAGTCAGGTGTGAGTTTCATAGTAATTTTTTCTTTCCTAACGCCCACCACGTACATCTTGATAATTTTTACAAACACAAACTGGTGGAAGGGGGAAGGCATCTACTCTATTCTCTGTGACCTGGGAGAGAAAGTAATGGAAATGAGGAGCTGAGCACAAGTTACCCCCAGGAGGTGAGAGGAGACCAGCTTTGAGAGTGGTAACAGAAATTAAACGGACTTGTTTGATGCCTCCTGATGTGAGTTAGTAGAATGGACTGTGGGCTGGAAAAAAATCAGAGTGACATCATCTTAACGAATAGTTCATTGAGCAGTTCCAAGATTTGTTTCATAGAACATTATTTCTGGAAGGATGCTAATAAGTGTAAAATGAAAGTAAACATCGGGAAACACAAGTTTAAACAACTGACTTGGGGCAGGACTTCCCAGAACCTTTAAAAGACAACTATGTACTGAGAATTTCCTGGAGGAAGAAGTAGATAGACTATTTCTAAAATTAATTGTCTGTGGGTCCCTGGGCATCAGAAGGGTGTGTACGACACACATGTGGGAGATGCTAAATTCACCAACCTCATTTTAGCGATAAGAAACTCAGGTCCAGAGAGGGAAGGGGGTTCGTGTAAAGCACCCATGTTTCAACTTGTTTCCCATGGACTGAGAGGCCCAGGAGCTGAGTTGTTACTGGAGCTCTGCAGGGCTGGTCAAGGCCAGGGCTGACCTGGGAAAGTAGACCCAGGGCTCTGCTCTGAGACTCGCTTACCCTGTAGACATGAGTGTCTTTTTGGAGATTAATATTCTTATTTTAAAAAAGAGAGGCATAATGTAATTTTTGTTTTACCAGTTTGATGGAATTGTTTTGTGAGGGTCAAATGACTTCTAATATGTGAGAGTACTATGAAATATGAGCATTTCACAGGCACTTAAAATTATTCGCTTAACCTTAGGACAGTGAATATGAAACTTGAGCATGCCTCAGAATCACCTGGAAGGCTTTTGAAGATGACAGGTGGTAGAGTTTCTGTATTAAGTGCTTATGAGGTGAGACCTGAGAGTTTGCATTCTGTTGCTGCTTGTCCAGACCTCACACTTTGAGAACCACTGACCTAGGAGATCCCAAAACAAAAGATGTCAAGTCTAAAAACAATCCTGGGAAAACTGTAAGCAGTTTTGATGCAGCAAATGAAAGAAAAAGTGAAGAAAACTGTCATAGACAGAGAACTTCTGTGAGCCAGGCACTGTGTAGGTGAATACTCTCTACCCCAACTCTGGGACAAATAACTCACTTTTCCAGATTTTCAGAGTTCAGTGGTTTGCAGGAGTCATGGAGTCAGTAAGCTGGCAAAGTTGGAACTCAAGTCCAGGTGTTTGTCTGCAAAGTTTACTGTCTTTCTGCTTCACTAAGACAAAGGACAGGCAAGAAAGTCACCTGTGAATCAGGCACAAAGCCATACCCATGTAAGAAGCAGAAGTTCTGTTTGCCACATGTGGCATCTGTGAATGCAGAGGCTCTTGCTGTTCTTACCACCAGTTCGTATCAACCTTACAGTGCAGAGCTTGGATGGTGTGATTTCTACTCAGGTAGTATAGCCCAGCATGAGGTTCAGAAGCCAGGCTACATGCCCTAACTTGGGTTTTACCAGCTGTGTGTCCTTTGTCACATTACATAACCTCCCTGGGCCTCACTGTCTTTGTCAATAAAATGTGGAAAGTAATTATATCCACCTATTGGGTGGTTATGAGGAGTAAATGAAATAATGTGGGTAAAGAATTTAGCATGGCACCTGACACATACTTCATGCTGAAATACTGCTACTACATTAGTTGATAAGAAAAAGAGAGAGCAGAAGGAGGTTGAGAGAGACTGTGATTGAATTAGCTACTTAAAAGGCATCTAATAATAATTTGGAGGCCTCCAAGTGAGTTTTGTCTGACCTCACTGGTTGTTTTTGGCTGAGAGATACTTCCCCAAATTCCTTTACTCTTCTTCAGGGAACAGGAAATCAAGGGAGGGTATCCAGTTGGGCCCATCATAGAGTCATCAGGATATAGTTTGTATTGGGCAGAGTGCAGGCCAGGTAGAGGGGAGAGCTGAGGGAAGGCTGGTGAGGAGGTACCCACAAGTAACACACCACTGTCTGCTGGGCTGCAGTGGGGGCTTGCCCTCAGGATAATCACTCCATTGCTTTGCCTATCACAGGCCTTTTATTAAGGGAACAATGGGGTGAAGATGAAGATGCATGCTGGTGAAGGTGAAAAGTTCATAGCAGTTGCCATGGGGATGACCTCACAAACTTGGCAGAGGTTCCCATGGAAACCAGCTTCCAGATGCAGCATTAACAATCCAGGTTTCTATCTTTCATCAGTGAAACTTCCTAAAGTGAGAGGTGGTACTGAGAGGAGAAAGGGTAGAAGCACGTCCCATCCTTCAGCTCATTAACCATCTTCCCAGGTGATCTCAAAAGCCACCTTCCTGGGGAAGATTTTCCTTATCCCATCTCTGTGTCCTTTGAATTCCCGTGGTTTTGTTTTCAGGCCATCATGACCCCTATTGCCTTCCTATAATACAATGAGATGTCCAAAGCTCCTAAATGGTGGCTTTATCCTGAGCAGAACTAGCATCAACCTGGGACTTAAGTATGCTTCAGCTAAGAGACCCAGCCTGCATTCTTCCAGTTCCGTGGGGAAGCTGTCCTGTGGTCCCTTTCCTGTAAGTGGCAGCTGGATTCTTCTTCCATTGCCACATATTGTTTTACTCAAGTACCTTTATGCTCTTCCACTGTGCACTGAGTCAATCCATACTCTCCTCTTGTCCTTTCTTACATTTATCCCTGGCAACTCTTCACTTAAGCCTTTTACAAAAATTATCAGTATTTTCTTACTCTTTTCTCATACCTTACTTATTTCCAGCGCCATTTTTATTGTCTATTCTTTAGAAATTTCTGGGATGCCTTTCTGGCTGTTTGAATATGGCTACTTTGCATGTTCCGTATCCTTTTCAAGGATTAGATACTTATGTTAGCCTCTTGCCTGAACTTCGACACTGTGCCATCTTTTACCATACTGTCTCATTATCTTTTCTATCCTATAAAATATTAACATCCTTGGGGGACAGGGATCAGATCTTGTACTTCTCAGTGGTCCCCTAAATATGTAAAGCAATTCAGGCATTCAGTAGTCTCTCAAAATTTGCTTCGATTTATGGAACTGTTTGTGGCAGAACTGTTTGTTCTCCCTCTGCTTTGAGTAAAGAAGTAGATCTACCCCTATTACACAGATAACTGTGATACAAGTCAGGGTAAGCTATAACACAAGCAGAAGCTAAATTCTGCCGGGGAAGGCAAGAACAGTTAAGAAGGTGGGTTTGTACCTGCAATGGGTGGGGGGGGGGGCGGGAATGGCACATTGGAAAAAGTAGCATCTGATACAGATTTTGGAGGAGGGATAGGATTTTAGAGGTGCAGAATGGGAGAGAGCACTCTAGAGAACAGAGTAACTCAGGGAATTCTTTGGCTGAAATGGAAGGTGTAGGAGAAGTGAGTGCTGGGGCAAGTGATGAGAAAGTTAGATGGGTGCATCTAACACCAGGGAAGAAATTTAAATTGGGAGAGCATTAAATGACAAAGTGACAACCCATCTTTGTCACAAGACTGAGCTGAGTTTGACTGAGGGAGCTCAGACCAGGAATTTGAACAAAGAATGTCTTAGGACATTGGATTTTGAACTCCTCATCATTTCATAAGCAACAGTATAAAATACAAAGCTATGGAGTCCAATAGTCATCTGTGGGCATGGCCAGCCCACTGCGAAATGATTTCCTGTCCAACCTTCTCCCTCTGCTTGGGAACATCCCACCCTGTGGGGCACTTACCCCATAGACCAGCTCTCCCACCATGCCATTCCAAGCCTTTGTATCGGGGTCGCGGGCTCCATATTTCCCATCACTGACAATCTCAAGACGGTAGGAGTAACCCACGTGCTTGGCAATCTCTGCTGCCAGCTCCACACAGTAGCCCTCATAGCGGTCATTGCCCTCAAACTGGTTGGCGTTCTTCTTGAGCATCACGTAAGGATCTTCCTGGTGAAGAAATGGGAAGACAGAGGATGTGGGTTATGCAATCACTCATCAGTAGGGAGGACTTGGGGTGGCACAGGAGGATGTCAGCAACTTTGGTTAACTTTGGGGGAAGTCTCTCTAGCCCCTAAATTTACTTCTTGCATTTCTGCTCCCTCATTACAAAACTTCTTGGGTTAAGGAAGCAAACCATTAAAAAAGGATATCTCACCATTGAGATGTGGTGCAGCTTTTCCAGTTATGTTCCAGTAGTTCTTGTATTTTTGGAGCTACTCTTGGGGGCGCTGCGTTGGGGATATGGCCCCTAAATAGGCCCTAGGCTTCTTACGATCAGCAATTGAAGATTATACCAGCTTTACTTATATTCGCTGTAGGTGCTGGGCTTTAGGAGACTTTCTTTGGAACGGGCTTCTTCTGCGGGAGGGTGGAATCTGAGAACCACCACAGTTCAGCCTCACCCTCATGTTTTACACATGGGGAAGTGATGGCTCAAAGGAGGCTAGTGACTTATGCAAGGCCCAAAGTGAAATCTTGGCACAGCCAGAGTGAAAAAAGTATCTCTGACTTCCAGGAAATTCCTTTTTTTCACCCCCTCTTTCTACCTGTGGCAGAGTTTTGGCAAGAATGACTAGCTTTTACTCCTGGGAAAACCTTTGTGTGAGTCCAGCTTGCATCCTGAATAACCTTGATGAAGGAGTGAGTACTCACTAGGATTGTAGTGACAATGTACGTTCTATTCTGGACACTTGAATTGTCCCCCCCGGCTTGAGCATCCGTGGCTGCAGGAACAAACTTGTCATCTTCATTCCAGTAACCAATCTGTTAATGAGAAGAAGGTGGTGATATACATTGAGCCCGGATTGTTAGGACTGGCCAACTCTGGGCCACCCAGCTGACACTGGGCAAGAAAACAAGGGGCTCAGCCTCACACCATGCAATACTGGACACACCAGGCTCTAAAGTATCGGTGGATAAAAACAAGAAGCTAGGTGTTCTCAGGTCCTCCTAGCCCCACCCCAGTGAAAATCCTCACCTTGACCAGCTAAGCTCAGGAGGGGAGGGTTTAAGTGTTTGCACAGGTAACTATTTTGTACAATACAAGCCAGAGCTGTGGAAATTTAATTCCCTGTAGTTGTTCACAAGGCCAACCCCCTATTTCCCCCATGCCTATGAACTCTTCTCTACCTGAGCCCTTTCTGAATTGTAGTTGGGATGTGATTAAACATGACATTCCCTTTGCTTTTTTTTTTTTTTTAGGTTAACTGTATTTTTCCATCTAGATTCAACCTCCTAGGTGATTGCTATTTTATCTTTATATATTTTTCTTATTTCCAATGATAAACTATTATAATACTGAGCATGTAATAGTGCCCAAATAGAAATATTGGCTAACATTATTTTTTAAAAAAATCAGTAGGTTATTTATACTGACTCATTTTCCAAGGTGTTTGATAAAATACTTAGTGGATCCCTACTGTGTGCAAGGCTCTGACCTTGCGATCAGTCATATTGGTGGTATTGTGTGGCAGGGTTTAGAGAAATACAAAGGAGTCAAAGAAATGGTTCTTATTCTGAAAATTCCTCTCGCCTGGTTTGGAAGACTTGACATACAGGAACATGTGGCTCCAGAAGTAACAACTGAAGGGTCGAGGTAGCCAGAGCCTGAGGGGCTCAGAGAAGCAGAAGCCAAGTGTGGAACCTATCTATGCTGGGAACAAGGCAGCAGGAGGAGGCAAGGATTAATGCTGTGAGGGATGAACAGGTGGGGCCCAACCCTTTTAGATCAGGGAGAATATTAGCCAAGATGTGAAGGCAGGAGTCTGCTAGATGTGTAAGTTCAGAGGGTCCTGGGTGGAAGATAGGGTTAGCACAGGGGGCTTGGGCCCCTGGGTCTGGGTAAGAGCAAAGTGGTGTGGTTGATACCACCCACCCGCCTGATCTCTGTCTCTGTCTGTGTACCATATTTTTCAGACTATAAGATGTACTTTCTTCTCTCCACACCCCCCCCCAAATTTGGGAGGAATAATGGTTATTAATGGTGCTGTTGAGTTCTGTTTACATTTACATTGGTGAAATATTATGTTATTTAATATTTTACCACATTTTTTGCTTCAAATTTTTTTCCTATTTTCCTCATCTAAAACCTAGGTGTGTCTTACAATCCAAAAAATGTGGTATGTCATAGAGAGTTGTGCTTTGTATCATGGTCATTCTGCTGGCTGTAGATATAAAGGGCAAAAAGGAAGAATTGAGGGTGCATATACAGAAGAATGAGCAGGTCTCCCAACAGCCAGAACTCAGGTCAGGTTCACAAAAACCTAGGCACATGCCAGTGGTCAACTCGAATGTTACCTTCACTCTGATGTCATCTCCAGTCTGCTCAATGATCAGTTCTCCCTGCAGTGTCACTGCCGTTCACATTAATAATAATAATTGCCAACAGCCTGAGCTGGAAATCACATTAGTTAACATTTATTGCATACTCATTGTGTTTCAGGCACTGGTCTAAGTGCTTTTAATATTTGAACTCCTTTCATCCTCACAAAATTACCTAGTTCATCCTGTGAACTGGGTAATTATTATTCTCATTTTACATGTGAGGAAATGGACATGTGGAGAAGGGAGGTAACTTTTCCAAGGCTACAGGAGCATCAAGGAGCCAGGGTCTGAGCCAGGAAGGCTGACTGCAGGGCCAGACCCTACCCAGCACCAGTAAGTTGGCCGCCAACACTTGAGTGCCTCAGGTAGGTTCCCACTGGCCCTCTGGTCCTCTGGTCTCTCTGTTTTCCGGTCTTTCCCCATTTCCCCATGATGCTGGGGGCTCCTTGTGGAGAAGGCTGAAGGTCTTGTCATTCTAGGGTCCCTTTCTTAGCACATAGATTCTTTCACAGAGATGCTGCTCAGGAACTGTTTGTTGAGGGAATGAGTGTATTCAATGTGGAGACAAACTGGCCATACTGGAGCAGAGGCCTGAAAGGGGAGCCCGTCTCTTGGGACTCTGGGTCAAGATTGACCCTCAGGGTAGGCATGAACACAGCATTGCCTAGGTGGGGCACTTTTAGTCAGCGTGGAAGGAGGGACACAAGAACTAGAAAAGTAGAGTTCTGGAATATCAGAGCTAGAAGAAGCCTGAACGATCATTTCTTCTAACCTCTTCCATTTGCAGACAGGAAAACAGAGGCTCAGAGACCAGGGGACTTGCTCAAGACCTCCCTCCCTTTGCTAGGGGGGTGCTCAGTGGGACTCCAGGGCATCTGTGGGGCCCCTCACCCCCTTCGAGGTGGGGGAGTGACAGGCCAGGGATGAGGAGGAAACTCAGGGTTCCTCGGCCACCACTTCAGCAGTCAGCTCTGCCTTTTATCTGTTTTACATAGTGGAATTCCCCTTATGAGTTCACTTTTCCAAGGAACCCTCTGGCTGAAAAATAAGTTTAAAACCACTGCTATGGTTTTAGAGACCCTTCCCTTTTTCCCCTGAAATTTCCTCCACTCTCCCCTCTGGTCACTGTCAGCCTACAGGAACAAGTATAAAAGACACATGACCAAAAACTAGGGCAGGCAGAAATGGGAGGGAGGTGGGGAGGGCTGAGGGGGTTGGCTGGGATGGGCGTAAAAGACAGAAAACTGTACTTGAACAACAATTAAAATAAAGAAAATAATAATAATAAAACCACTGTTGTAGCAAATCATGATGCAAGTTTTTAAAAAATTCCAGAAACTTTTACAACCTTTAACTCTTTTGTTATTCACACTATGTTAATAGCACAGATGGGTTGGGATTATTTTCTGTTTCACAGATGAGAAAACTGAGGCTTGGGGAGTCAAATCATCTAATTGGTAGTAAGTAGGTTTTACAGCAGATTAGTGGCAGAGCACAGGAGCTAGGTCATAGACCTCAAAAGTAGGGGTTTTTAAAATACCGACTTAGGAGAAGGTCTGGCTAATATAAATGTCATTTCCCTTGCTTCATTTCCTCTCTTTTGCCTTTTCTTCCTTCCCTACCTTTCCTTTTTCTTTCCCTCTTCCCTCTTCACAGTCACAGATCTAGCTGTTCCTATTCAAACTATATAACCATCAATCTAGAGGAAAATTTCTCTTTTATCTTGCAACTAATTTTTCTAAAATCTGCAGTGTATTAATTGGTATTATTTAAAAAATGGAACCATGCTTGATAGTCAAGAGATTGATCTTTGGTGTCGGAAAGATCTGGTTTAAAAGGTAGATTTTCTTAATTACTGCCTGTCTGACATCAGGCTGGTCACTTGACCTCAGTGGGCCTCAGTTCCTGTCTCCTGGACTGCCATGAGGGCTAAATGCATGTACAACAATTAGCACCGTGTGTGGTTCATAGGAAGTTACCAGTAGACTTAAAGTAGTACTCGGTAGGGTCATGTCTGAAGGGAAACAGGCTTCTCTACTACAAGGCATTTCAGTTTCAGTTTGCTGTTGAACATTATCAATCACCATAAGACATATATTCTGCGGAGCAGTTTTTGAACACATTTGATAATGTAACCCTCTTTACATGGAGAATGTCCTGGGATAAGTGGTCCTTAAACCACAAAACTCTGCTCTAAAATATCAAGTTATTTTGATAAAAGATAGGAGAAAACAAAAAAACAAGATAAATCTGTATAGACCTGACTTCCATGGTTTAGAAGGAAACTTTAATTTTTAAGGATAGTGGTTTTTCCCTGGAGGGTATTATGCTAAATGAAATAAGTCAGTCAGAGAAAGACAAATACCATATGATTTCACTTACATGTGGAATCTAAACACCAATATAAATGAACAACAAAAACACCCAGAATCACAGATATGGAGGACAGCCTGGTGGTTGTCAGAGGGGAGGGATTTGGGGGACTGGATGAAAAGGTAAAGGATTAAGAGGTACAGATTGGTATTTACAAAATAGTCTCAGGGATGTAAAGCACAGCCTAGGGAATATAGTCAATAACTATATATGGTGCTAGGTGGGTACTGGAAATATCAGGAGGAATGCTTTGTAAAGTGTATGATTGTCTAACCATGATGCTATGCACCTGAAACCAATACAAAATAATACTGAATGTAAACCATAATTGAAACAATATTAAAAAATAGTTTTAACTTAAAAATTGCGATAGTGGTCCTTCAAAGCTAGTGTCATAGCACTGATGTTAAATTGGGATCTATAAAGATTATCGTATATCTTGGCCTATATACAGCTCCTCTGATATCAAAAGTCAGAAAAATAGTTCAATGTTATAAACAAGCTTATTTTATTCCTAACACTTTTATAGGGCAATAAAACCATATCACCAGTCAGAAGAGCCAGGTGATGCCAAGACCCAGCTTGCACCTCATGTGAGCTAGCAGGCTGGGAAGTCGGGTTGCAGTCTGATAAAAAGAAAGCTAGCAGAGATTTTTGGAGGGACATTGTGCTTCGGAGATGAGAGATGGGTTGAATTATTATGCAGCGCTTTGATTCACTACTGAGGATATGCAAAAACTTTGATTCTATCTGAAAGTAAATCAGAGCCAGTAGTTGGGTAAAGATGGGGGCCCACTGTTCAGGAAAGGTTTAAATAATTCTGACAGTGAGAGGTCTTCTCCTGGGGCCAGTTATAATATTTGATCTCCTATTTTCCATCTACCTTTAAAGATTCTTTGACTGTAGGAAATGAATCTGGATGATAGATCATATTTTTTAAAAGTGAATGAAGTCTAAAAAGGTGATAATCACAGAACAGTTAAATTCAGTTGATCTACCTCACACAGTCATTAAATCATATTTACACATTTGTATCTGTAGGCTGCCATTGAAGCTGCAGCCCCTGACTCCAAAAATAAGTCTCTTATAATACATTTTTTAAAAGTAAGGTGCCTATTGAGGCAAAGCCAGCTAGATGACCACCAAGACTCTTGTTCACCTTTCATGGCATAAAAATATTGGTGAAAGTGGCTACCTAGCCAGCAATTTTGTTTCCTAGCCTGCCTTGCATCAAGGTTGGCTGAGTGATTGTGTTCTGGTCTATCAAGTGCAGCAGAAATAATGCACATCTCTCTTAGCCTGACTTCTCCAAGGCTCCAGCACAGTTCCACCTCTTTCTTCCCCATCTATTGGTTGAATGCTGATAGAAAGACCCAACCCTTCTTGGTTACAACTGCTCATCTCTGCTGGTGTGATACAGAAGGAGCCACAGACAGTGCATAAACAAACAAGCATGGCTGTGTTCCAAAACAGCTTTATTTATGGACATTGACACTTTAATTTCATATAGTTTTCACATCATGAAATAATCATCTTTTAATTTATTTGAACCATTTAAAGATGTAAAATTATTAGTTCACAGACTGTACAAACAGGCAGTGGGCTGAATTTGGCCTGCAGGCTGAAGTTTGCCAACCCCGATCTAGATCAGTGAACAAGAAAGAATGTATCAGAAGGAGTAAGTATTATGAAAAAATAAAATGGAATAGTGTGACTGTGCTGGGTGGGTGAGGGCTACTTTAGGTAGCTGGGTCAGAGATGGTCTCTCTAAAGTGACTTGCGCTGAGCTGAGATCTGAAGCTCAGGAGGAGAAACACAGTGTGTGGACATACAGTGATAGGGAATGCCAGGTGAGGAAACAGAAAGATGCTAGGGTAGCTATGGAGCAGTGAGCTAGAAAAAAGGATGATGAGCTGATATCACAGGGAAGCAGCATCTAGTATACTGAAGGCCACAGTTAGGAGTTATATTACCTTTTACCTGCAATAGGAAGCTAATGGAAAGTTTGAAGCAGAGAAGCAATATAACCTGGTATATATTTGAAAATCACTATTCCAGCTTTTATGGTGGGAAAAAACAGGATCCCCTTGTAGAGGGGCAAGAACGTAGACAGCGGGACTAGTGGCTCGTAAGAAGGTTTGGAATGAGTGCAGGCAGGTGTGGAGGTGGCCTGGGATCTGGGATCAGCAGTGGTAATGGAGAAAAGTGGTTGGACTGAAGCTATATCTTAGAACTATAACAGGATGTGGTACGTCTACAGTTGGGTAGCAGTGATTTAAAGAAAAGTGTCCAGAGGACATGTGGAATGGAGGGATGTGAATTCTTTGGGACTTTAAGTTACCCTAGACACCAGCAGAACTTGGTGTCACTTGTCTTCTTTCCTTTCCAGTTATGCAAAGGATCGGAACTAGGAATAACAAATTTGGGGCAAATTTGGGACAGAAAGACTCAAGTTGATATGAGAAGTAGATGGCTTCAGTCAGGTGCAAAAATGGCTACAGGACCAATGGTGATGGGCAAGGAAGGTGAAATCAATAGTGCTGGTCCCTTGATGAAAGACCTTGGAAAATTTCTCTGTATGTGTTTCTTGGCAGCTGTTTATCAGAATCTGTGATCTCACCTGAATTTACAAGGTATTTTGTGTGGATAGAGATCTCTGCACATTAGTACCCCACAGTGAAATGGAATCTCTGAATGGGATTTCCTGAGGATTAGCTTGAGTAGAGCTAGTGCCAATTCTGGCATTTGAAGCTCCTAAACGTATGATGGATGCATGCTCAGAGCCCACATGTTTCAGTGGGATGTCAGATTGGACCCAGATACCTAGAGGGTATGTTGGCACACTGGTGGGCAGGGTACAGCCTGAAGATCAGCAGAGTGTTCCCATGGCTCTGAATCAAGAAGCAGCAGCACCTCTTTATTACCTCCAGTCAGGTAAGGACATGAAATGTTCACTGAAGCCAGCACAACTAGGTCACCGTTGAATCTGAGAAATTACTTTGCTAGGAGGCTGATTGAGGAAAAGGCCTGAAGACACAGATGTGGATAAATTGATTTTCTGAAATTCAGATCCCTGTAAACAAAGAATTCTTAAGCCTACATTCTAAGAAAGGATTTAGTTGTTGGAAAGTAAGTTGAAAAACAGCCTTGGGGTGAAAACAATAAAGCACAACCACTTGCTTGTAGATTTTAAGGTTACTCTGTTATTTCTATTCGCTGATTTATCCATTCTACAGGCTTACAGGGCCTGACTCACTCAAACTCAAGGCTGAAAAAAAATCCCTGTGGCTTAAGGAATGGAGTTGAACCAGACAGACAGACAGACAAACAAACAACATGGGCTGAATGTCCCTTATACTCCAGGTGCTAGTTTTGAGAACCCCTCACTGCAGGCAATGGGGTTAGCAGGCATTCTTTCACTTAATTCCAATAGTAACCCTGCGAGGTTAGGGGTATTATCCCCCTTTTGGAGATCATGTAACTGAGCTCCAGGGAGGCTAAATAACTTGTTTAAGGTCACACACCTAGTAAGAATAAAGCAGAGTTTTAAACCCTGGCCTAGGCACTGGTGACATGTATGAAGGTGAGAAAGAACCTAGTGTATTCAAGGAAGTGAAGTTGATCAGAATGACTAGCATGGAGAGGGGAAGGAAGTGAGTGTCAAGGGTCAAGGTCAGAGACATTGGCAGAGCCTAGACTACATAGGATCTGATAAAATTCTAAATGCTTTTGTCAAGAATTTGGATATTATTGTAAACATTTTAATATCCATATGTATTATATGATACCTATAGACACATATTTTTCATTCCTACTTCCATATGGATAATGGAGTAAACATGACCAAGTGAGGAGTCTGACAGGATGGTTAACCTCATTGATAATCATCATTGTCAAGTTCCTACTTCGGAATCCCTGAGGGACAGCAAGCAGTAGCGTTTTACACACATCTATTACTTTATATTTACAAAGTACTTGACCATCCTTTGGATCTTCACTAGTGCCCAAGACAAAAGTCTAGATTTTTTGTCTCCATTTTGCAGGAGATGGAGTCTATTCCCAGAGAAAGGAACTGACTTGCCCAGAGTTCCAGCTGGTTTGTGGCAGAGCTGAGCCTTAGAATTCTCATGTTTTGAGTCTCTTCAAAAAGACCCAGAGCAGGAAAGGTGGGCTCACAAGGCCCTCCATTCTACCCTGAGCCTCTGCTCAGCCCTCTCTCCTCCCTGTGGGATGGAAGCAAAGGGACTTTTACCTTTCGGATGCCGTCATGCTTCATCTCAATCACGTGGAGGGTGTAGTTGGTCCGGCGTCCTTTCTCATTAAATTGTACGTTTCCTGTCAGGCCTTCAAACCGCACCTGGAAAGCAAAGCCCAGCGGTGAACAATGAACTCACAAGTCTCACTTCATGTTTGTTGGCTTTTTCTGCTGAAGCTATACTCCGGAACCCCAGAGTGGTACAGATGATGGGGTCTTAGAGTAGTGTCAATACTAAACAACTCTCTACTCTCTTGCCCATAGTCATTATTAGGGCACAATTCTCTGAAAACCTTTGTTTGTAACACATTGCTTTAGACTAACAATGAGACATCTCTGCACCATCCCCAGTCACCGTCCCTGCCCCCCTCCCCACCCCTGGCTCCTGCTGTGAGCACCACCCTGCTTCACGGGAAGAAACTGCAGGAAGCCTGCTAAGGAAAGGGGCTGCCCTGCCACTCCTGGAAAGTCAGGAGGAGACCTAGACCAGAAGCCAGACTTATGGTGTCCTGGGCTATGCTTGGACGTGGCTTCTTAGTTCCTTCCTGAGGCCAGGGAGTAAAACACTTGGGAATCTAAAGACCTGGAACTGAAAGACCTGAAGTTTACCCCAGTTTTTCTTTGAACAGCTGAGTGACCTTGGGCAATTCACCTCCCTAAGCCCCCATTTTCTAAAATTCCTGCCCATGTACCTTGAATGACACAGCAAATGAAAGTAATATGAAAAATTAAAAGCACCTGAGAAAACTCTTTATGTTAAGAAGAGAGCAGGCTGGGTTTTAAGCAGGTCTCAGTTGGTTAAAACAAAATTTGTATTGGAACCCCAAAGTATGCTGCACAGGATTTCTTCTCCACAAATGAGTCAGATTAAGCTTTCATGGCCTTGTATCTTCAAGCTCAGGTTGAGAGTCTGGTGGTCAACATGGGGAAATCCAAGTCTTTTCGGACTGAATCTGCTGCTCTGGAGGTAACCAGTAAATGCCAATCAAGTCCACCCTCAAACTGAAGATGAGTTCTAGCTGCATATCACTGGCTCAGGTACAAGAAACCGGTTCTCTGGTTCTCTGACTGACCACACTCTCTAATGGGATATTCTCAGATCAGCCTGGCCTAAGGCCGGCAAGATGAGTCTTCAGCTGTAACCAATAGGAACCTGGCCCTATAACCGAACTGTTTACTTCCCTTCTCTTCAAGGAGCTTAAAAGGAAGACTTGCAGGGTTTTATCTTAAAAAAAAACACACATTATTTATTTATTTTTAGAGAGAGAGGAAGGGAAGGAGAAAGAGAGGAAGACAAACATCAGTGTGTCGTTGCCTCTTGCACACTCCTAAATGGGACCTGACCCACAACACAGGCATGTTTCCTGACTGGGAATTGAACCAGTGACCCTTTTGTTCACAGGCTGGTGCTCAATCTCCTGAGCCACACCAGCCAGGGCCAGGGTTTTATCTTTTTCTGACGGTGACCAACTCTTCTGGCTTCAAAAGGTATAAGAATAGATGGTATGTGTGTGTGAGAGACACACAGATACACAGACATACACAGATCCACACACACACCCAGAGACCTTCTGTTTTGAATTCTCAGTGGGAAGGCTGTGACAGGCCCAGAGGGCTGAACAAATTACATAGCAAGCTCTTCAGTCTCGCAGGTGAAATCTGGAGAAACCCTCACTCTGGGAAAGTCAAGGCTAGCTTTGCTTTTCAGAGAGAAAACAAAGCATAGATCCTGCTGCACAGAATAAGAAAAAGGAAGCAATTCCAGTCTGTCAGCAGCTTCACCTTCTTCTTACCCTGGTCATCTTCTGCCCACCTTTAGCCTTCCCATTTGTTCAGATTCAAGAGTGGCTAAGTAGCAGCTTGAATTACTCATTTGAAAAACATACCTGGTAGATATGCAGATAACTGCATCATGGATTGGTTTTCCCAAACAGGGAGGAGTGTCATTAATTATGCAAATGGCATCTACTTTTTGGCCTCAGTCTCAAGACTCATACCAATTATCAATGGCATATTAGTATGGCAAATTGCATGATGTCTCTAGAACTATTTCCTCATATGTTTTATGGGGCCAATTAGAGTTAATCATATCTTAAGGTCACTTTAAGGATTAAATGAGATACTTTATGATCAATGCTTGGTCCATGGTGAGTATTCAACAAAGGCCAACTGTTTACTATTATTGTTACTAATAATGATACTAATACTACTACCACTTTTCAGGTGTTCCATGTATAGAAAGTACTTCCATGCATGTTAATTTACCTCTATTCATAGGAAACCCCTGAGGTATGCGTTTAGAGATTATAATCTTCACTTACAGGGGAGAAAATAAAACTCTTATAGGTAAAGTGATTTGCTCTGGATTTATGACTTGTAAGTATCAGAGGCAGACCTAAAATCAGAGCTTCTGAAATATTCTATCTTCACTCAAGTTACCAAATGGCCTCTCAAACAAGGCTACTGTGCTAGGCTATGAGTGGGTGATACAGAAATGTACCAGGCAGTGTGTTGTACGTGCCTACTGCTGCCACCTGCTATTCCAGCTGGACCTTTCCCAGGCTGTGCTCTGTTAATTCCTAATTATGTGTCCATGAGCACATCACTGAGCCTATCTGTTTTTTGGTTTACTCCTCAAAGGATGAAAATGCTTAGCATATTGCCTGGGACACAAATGTTCAATTCATAGTGCATAGTATTTAGATGGTGGCAATAACTACTGTTGTGCTGTGCAGAGTGGGTAAGAGGTGGGGGTAATGAGAAGACCTAACATTGAAGTCTTGGGTCCAGTAAGGTGTCTCAGAGCAGGGGACTTGATCAGCAAAAATGAGGGTCACTTTTACATGGCTTTCTCAGTTTCCAGAAAGAAAAAATAAAAACCGTTGTCAGCAAAAGTTCTAGTGGCTTGAGGACCCCTTGCATTGTCACAGTGTTTTTATAAGTTCTCATTTGATATTCACCGAAACCCGGTGAGTAGGAAGGAATGGCAGAGGCTACTTTGCCCATTTTGTGGGTAGGATTATTGAGATTCAGGGCCCTTGGGTTCAGGGTTCACAGTGAGTCATGAGAGGCTGGGGGCAGCTTAATGCTCTTACTGGCTAGTTAGGGCAGCCAAGCCAAGACTTACACAGTTTTTGAGATACATCAAAGCATGGGAGAAGTGCCATTGCAAAATGACCCTCCCATGATGGCAGAGCAAGGAATGGTGAAGACAATGGTCCAGCCCTGAACCATCTATGTGTATGGTTAGGACTCATAGTTGGAGGAAGAAGCTTCTGAGAGACATCCTCTTTAGGGGTATCTGGAAACTGCTGTCCTGTCCATCAAGGCTGAGCCTCTCAGCTTTTGTGCCCCTCCCACCTGCCCCCTTGGAGTGACTGGGGTCAGACTGATGGAGACCTAAAGTTTCCCTGTGGAATCTATCTCCTGGAGCCCCCATCACCATCCTGGCACCTGCCAACTCCTGTGAAAGAGAGAATTAACAGTGGCTTTCCTGCATATGGTATTGGGCGCAGCCACCCGTGGGATGTCAAAGCATAACTTCTTTCCTGCTTGTTCCTAGGGAAGAGCTGGCTGTTGTTCCTACTACTTGAGGTATCAACACTGGTACTCCTCCACCCCATCCCCAGGGAGGCAGTGGAGCTGCCCAGGACAGGGCTCCTCTAGCCTTTTTGTGGCTGCCTTTAAGTGAATCTGTTCTCTTGACCTCTCCTAAATGTGCGCTGGGTATGGGGAATCAGGGCTAGGTCCCAGTGGACCGTGTTCTGGTTTTGCTAGCCAGGGCAAGTCTCAGGAGCCCTCTGAGCTTTCATTCTCCCACCCAAACAAGGAGAAAAATAATCTTGGCTCCAACTATCTCATGCAGATTCTCTGAAAATTCAAGAAGCTCATTATCCACCTTCTCTTTCTTTGAGCCTGTGACAAGCCAGGGAGTGCAACAATACTAAGAGGATTATGTCCATTTAGTAGATGAGGAAATCAATGCCAGAGAAGTTGAACATTTAGTCCAAGCTCTCACAGATTGTGCTTGATGGGGCCGTGGTTAGAATCTGGCTCTTCTCTTCCTAGCTCCCTAATAGGCTGAGCGTGATGCCCACAGATCCGGCTTGCACCCTCACTCTGGTCTCCCGGGACTTGTTTATATGTCCCTCCCCACCAGACCCTCCAAAGCCTGATTCACTCTTTGTTTGAATACACCCTCCCTTTAATCTCAGTTTGCTTGGGATAGTTCCAGTCTACATCTCTCATTTCAGAAGAATTGGTAATAGTTCTCCCTGTCACTCTTAGGTGTCACAGTTTGGATGATAAATTATATGGTCACCCTTTTAAAAGCCTCAGTCCTCCTCCTATAGGAAGCCTTGCCAATGTCCACATTCCTCAGTCATGGCATTTTGCTGTGACCGTCTACAGCACTGAGAGCCTAGCTGCTATTTAGCTTATTGCCCACACCCTTATAGACATTATTTCTCAGGAGCTTGCCTTCCCTTTGAAACTGAGTCTGAGTCTGAAAGGCAGGGACTGCCTTCCACCACTCTGGCCCTCCCCACCCCAGACCTCATCTAGCAAAGTGCTCGTGTACCTTTACACTGATATTGTTGATCCTTGGCGGACAGATTGTGAACACAAAGACTAAGAGGGAAGAACACTATTTAGGGCCTGTATTCTTCACTTCAGGTCCTGGGGGGGTTGCTTCCAGGAGTGTCTGTGGTCCCCCTACCTCTCGGTCATGCAAATATGCATGTCTGTACATCTGCATTTTTCTGGGAAAAAGAATCTGAAGTCTTTTGTTATTTCCTCAAAGCATCTATGACCCTCAGAAGCTGAACCTGACTTGGGGAGCTGAGTCTCCTTTGCCAGCCAGAGCCGACATATGGTCACCCTAATGCCTCCTTCTCCCTGGAGCACTGAGGGCTTGCAGGATGTGAGCTTATTAATATTCTGAGTGGCTTCCTGGATGTCAGGCAGGGGCCAGACAGGCGGCTGATTATCTCCACTCCGCTGCGGCAGGGTGAGGGGCAGGGGTGTGTGGATAGTACCCAGGTCCACGTGCTGTTTGTTGTAGGAAGGGCCACAGCTCTTGTGTCTCCCCTGGGCTGGGCCTTCCAGGCTTCAGAGCAGAGCAGTTATGTGTTCAAGTCAGCAAGGGTTGGAGTTCCAGTATCGCCACTAACTAGCTGTATCATTTTTGGAAGACATTTTTATTATTTTTGAAGCTCAAGTTCTCCATTTATATAGCACAATTAATAAAACTAGCTCCCTCAGAGTGAGATATTTAGGATTCAGTAAAATCAGACATATAAAGTATGTTCACAGCTTGGGCATAGTAAGCCCTTAACACATCATAACTGGTATTACCATAGTTTTTGGAATGTGACTTCCTACTGTTGTAGCCCTCTAGGTAGCTGTTGCTGGGCTTCCAGGCCCAAGTCACAGATATTTCAGCTCTAGCACAAGCTGAACCGTAGGTTCCCTCCTGTTGTGTGACCAAAAAGCCAGTGAGTGGTCAGGGTGGCAGAGACCTGGGCCCCCAACCCTGGCTGCTCAGGACTGAATGTCACTGGGTCTTACCCAGCCCATTGTGGGCACACAATTTCTCCTTTGTGGTATGTCTATTTCGAGAGATGAATCTAGAAGGCCAGATGAATAGACAGTGGCCATGACTATAAGTAAAACGTTCCAGAAGTCAATGTGTAAAAGTAAAGGCCCCTTGGGCCATAGGACAGGCCTGGAGCAGCAGGAGAAGCCCTGGACAGGGATCTGGTTCAACCTTTGCTGTGAAGCTGCTGCGTGAATCACTACCCTCTCTAGGCTGGCTGCTGCAGCTATAAAGGGAAGGAAATGGGCATCATTAATCTCTAAGACCTCTGTGAGCAATACATTCCTGTGATACTAGGTACTTAACACAGACTTGGGCAAGGAATCAGTTTGAACATCTGCACTTAGGGTCAGAAGTTTGGGTTTTGTTTTTCTTTTCTTTTCTGCCCTGTAGTTCCCCAACCCCCAGGAGAGACTAAAGGGTGTTTATTGAGGACAGGTCTCGCCTTCTCTTAACCCCAGTGCTTGGCCCAGGCCAGGGCATGCTCTTGGGGCTCAGCTGATTGGCTGCTGCAGAGGCACAGCTGTCTGAGTCCAAGACAATATACTTTTGGCCAAGTGGCCATTATACCTTTGACTAAGGTAACTTCCTCCTTGCAAAACCTACTGGAGGCAGAAGCAGAAGAATGAGTGTACATTACAACCAGAAACATGTGGTTTCTGGAAAAAAATAGATTCTCAGAGGCAGTGGAGACACAGAAGTTGTCTCTCCCACCTCCTCATTGTCATGACTAAAGAAAGGGAAGTCTATAGGAGATTCGAGTGATCGCAAGGTCACCCAGGGAGCCACAGAGCCAGGGACCCAGCTGAACTTGGAACCCAGCTCTCCTGTTTCCTGGTTCAGAGCCCTTCCTGCACCCACATTGCATCCTAGGCTTCATCACTGTCATGGTGGCATCAGACTATCCTTCCAGGGATGTCACTGAAATGGGAGAGGCAAGGGAGTTCAGAGGGTTGGAAAGCTGAGGGCAAGTTCCTGGGACCATGTGAAATCAGTCTTACATGGCAGATAGAATCTGTCTCAGCTGTGGTGCCTGGAGAGGCATTTTAAATAAGCCAGAAGGCAGGCGCTACGCCTCTGGCAATCATTTGGAAGCTACCTGGGCCCTACTATTGCTTCAAGGTGATTAGGGGCCAGTTTGTAGAAAGAGACAGGGAGAGGACAAAAGGTGCAGCTGGTGGATCCCTTAGTATGATCCTCGTGGAGTCACAAGACTGCTGCTTAGCGTCGTCCCACGGCCACAGGTGTAATACATATTCCCCTCCACTTCGTAAAGGCACTTCATCCGAGATCAGGAACAGCTGGTGATGTTCCTTTCTCATCTCCTCTCTTTCTCCAGGTTGTGAAAATTGTGAGAGCTGTGCACTTTTGGTTGGAAAACAAATGGGAATAGTTGTATGTCTTGCTCTGCATTTCTCCCTCATTCAGAAATGTTCCTCTCTTCCCCCAGGAGCCTAAATTCACATGTTGAAATAGTCTTAAAAGTAGAGCTGGCCTTATCCAGACAACCCCCCTGGATGAGGGGAGGGGTCTTGAGGGCATTCACTCCAAAATATCTTACTGTTGCTGGCTTGCCACCGTGCCCGATACTCTGACATTCCTCTGCAGGGAGCTCTGCCCTCTTTGTCCAGTCCCTTTTGGAAATACAGCCTCTCTATTAGGAGGCATCATACGGTGCTCCTTGTCTGCACTTTGAGCATCACAGCCTGGGCTGGAGGTGCTTCCAGAGACTTCTAGAGACTAAGAGAGGCTTCTAGGAGCTCTGAAAATGGTAAAGCTGAGAGCAAGTTCCCCAAATCACCTAAACCAGGAGTGTTAAATACGTAGCCCACATGTATCATTTTCTCATTTTTCTTCTACAAAAGACATATTACTAATTGGGTATTTATACTTTCCCCTGTTGAATCTGGATTCAGCCTCAGAATCCTTTGCATAGCCAATTGATTGGGATGGGCATGACCATTCTCTATCTCTGCTTTTTAACTGTTCTTAAGTGCAAACAAAACAAATGACTGCAATGCTGAGGAGAAAGAAAACAGAATCACAAGTATGAAGAAATATTTTCAGGGTTCCTTCATGAAATGTGCACAGAGAGCAAGGGTGATGAAGAAATTCTGAAAACCAGGGCAAGTGGGGACAATCTCCGGGAGACTGCCCAAATGGTCCAGTTTCATCCTGTATATTTCAAGTTCCCTCCCAAATACAGAATCTCTGGCTTCCCTTTTTTAGCATTTTCCCTAAGCAGAAAATAGTTTTTATACTACCAGCAATGAGTATTCCATACCATTGGGTTTTTGTTTGTTTTTAATTCCTCCATGAGCTTTCATCTATGCCAAGGGCCACAAACACCGTGCGGTGGTGTTCCAAACTTCAGGCATGCTCCGCCTTTTCTTTAAAATCGCTACATTCCACCTGAAACCGATACTGGAATACTGTTCAAGGCTCCCATACATGGGCAGCCGTTGCTGGTCTCACCTGCTGCAGAGCCCTCTGGATGTCGATCCCCTGGCCCCAGGGCACAGCTGGGTTAGCCAGGCAATCCCCAGCATTCCCCCGGCGGGATATATCGATTCTCTGCCTTCGCAGGCTCTGGAAAGCCTCAGCCATCACCTTCACTCCATCATAGGTGAGCGCAGAGGTGTACTGGTGGGAGGAATGGAGACAGTTAGGTGACAGAGAGAGCTGACAGGGAGGCAGGAGGGGAGCTGTATCTGGGGATGTGCTTTCTGGTGGTGAGAATGCCCACAGTGGACCACATACAGGACTGGGGGAGGGGGCCAGTAGGGAACCAAAACCCAGAAAGTGCTGGCCCCTTAGGTGGGAGCTGCTGTGAACTGCTAGCCAGTATTGCCTTCTTGAATTGTGTATTGCTGGTTGTGACTTTGGAAGAGAAGCCAGAATTTTAGATTTTTGTGTGTAATCTTGCAGTTTTATAATGTTAGCTCACTGGATGAAAAAAGAACGCACAGATTAAATTCAACACATCTGTATCATCTGATAGAGTCCATGGAAAAAATGGTTTTCTCTGGGTTATAGTCACCAACTTGAAACTAAGAGGAACTGTTTATTCCACCATCCCTGGGACAGTAAAAGAAAAAAGTAATCCAGGAAAGTTAAGTGCTTAATTATTTCCACATGTGGCTCACCCAAGTGGCAGGTTTACAAACTTTCTGTCTGCAAACTTTCCCCCTGTGCTTATTCTTAATACTCTCAATATTCCCCCCTCTTGCCTAAGAAGGGGATAAAATGTTGATGAAACAAAACTTGATAACAGTCCAGGACAATATTTCCTGGCTTTGGCACTCATGTCTGTCATCTTCATTAATTAGTTCCTAATGCTTAGCTGTTTTCTGGGCATGCGAAGTTGACAGAGAGTTCTGGGCTGAATGTATAAGTATTTTTCCAGTTTTTAACTTTGTCTCACATTTGATAAGTATATGTATTACATTTAGTTATTTTTATAATCTCCAATCTTTTGAAAATTGAGTGGGGTATTTACATATTGATTTATTGACTGCTATGTGGTTTGCTCATGGCCTTAAAGCACATTTGTGACTTTGTTTGCTTAAGTTCATATTGAAATACATCTTCATTGTGAATTGCTAAGCCAGTCTGAGCACCAGTGGGATGTAACACATCTCAGTTAAATACCCTGCCATTGAAAAAGAGATACGGACCTAGTAACAAAAGAAAGTTGCAGACGATTCACTGTTTTGTGCAGATAAACCACTTTGGCTGCAGGATCCTACTCAGTGCATTGTTCCACACAGCCACAGCCAGCTATGGGGTTTGACACAGGAGAGAAAACTACCTTCCACCCTTACTCTAGACCATTATCCAATAGCGAACAAAACCGATTTTGGCTCTAGGACTTAGAGCTGCATTGCCGGGAAGTGAGTGCAGAGAGTCTGCATGACAATTGGGAGTTGTCTCTCTGAGGGGCGAAGTGTTCGATATTGCTTAGTTAGATTTTCCTGATTTTTAGCTGGGCATGCGCCTGACCAGAATAAAGGCCAGTTCACTGCATGACTCAAGGAGGCTCAGCGTGCAGAGAAACAAACGCAAACAGCATCCCCTACAGCTGTGCGGAGTGGTAGCCCTGCCCAGAGCACAGACGCCATTTTTCCAGCTTCTCTGGTAGCTGGTTGGGGCTGGGTTTCTAAGGTGTGGCAGAGTAGCCTGTGAGTGGAAGACCTGTGTGTGACTTCTGAAAGAGTTCTTAGAGGAAACCATTGTGCTTCTTATTTTCCTCTTCTCCTTCCTGCCGGGTAGAATACTGAGGTAATGGTTGGAGCTTCAGCAGCCATTTGGGGCTATAAAGTAGCTCCCATATGCTGAGGATAGCAGAATAAGAAAATAGAAGACACCTGAGTGTTTGATTGTGGAACCATTATCCAAGGCCTGGATATCTGACTTCTGAATTTTGTTTATATGAGAGAAAAACAAAATGTCTGTCTTGTTAAAACTATTATTCTGGATTTCTGATCTTTGTACCCTAATCTTTGTTGGATATATTATCCTTAGCTTATTCCTCTTAGAAAGCCTGTCTTTCTCTGATGGCTAACACTGTGCGGAATCAGTGGCAGGCAATGGGGCCAGTCTGGTCTTTTGCTGTCTGTTGCCCATCCCTTCACCTTAGGTCTCTTCCAGTCCACCCGCGTGTGGTCTCGAGCGTCGCTGTTCTTCCACTGCTGCATGATCTTGGCTGGGATGGTGTCTGTGTAGTTCACCAACTGGAAACCTGTCACATTTGCTCCACTCTCCTTGAATTTGTTTAAGTCAATGTCCATGAAGCCCTGTGCAGTGAGGAGGAGGAAGAAGTCAGAACACATTGCGTGGGTAAATCCATTTAACCATGTTACAGAATCATAGGATTTTCCATCCTCTTCCACAGGGTGGAACTGACTTAATAGAGAGTTGTTCCTCCATCTTCCTGAACTCGGTTATTACTTAGTTCATGCATAAAGTTAGCACAGTGGTTACGAGTGCTTGCCCAGGAGCCAGCCATACCGGGGCTGAAGGGCTGCCTTGCTGCCCTCCGCCATCAGTAATACTGTGTTGGGCTGTTACCTGATGGCTTCCTGTCTGAACAAGGGAAGGTAAGGGGCTGGGGGGAAAGCAGTGCAGTGACGCCTGTCCAGGGCATGGTGCAGACTGACTGACCAGTAAATAGTGGCTGGGATTGTTACGATGCCACAGATGTGGGACATAATGAGAAACCTAAGGAGGGGGTTGTCTCCACTCACACCCCCATCCTCCTCCCCTCTGAGAGAAGAGGAATCTGAGGTCCATCGGGGGCAAGGGCCCATGGGCTCCCCAAAGTCACCACAAGTCTGTGGGAGAGGCTGAATCCTGATCATCCCTCGCCTTGTGTTCTTTCCTGTACCATACACTAGTCTCTGCTCAGCTGGGCCTGATCAGTTGTAACATCTGCAGGATTCTTTATTAGGAATGAAACTTTCCTTCCCACTTGGTGAAATTCAGTTAAAGTCAGGAAGCCTTCAACTTAAAAAGGAGACCTTGTATTTGTATAATATATTCCATAATGTGCAGTACTTTCATATCTATGGCCTCATTTCACTTTATGATTTTACAAGGTAGACATTATATGTCTATTTGCCAAATATAGAAACTGAAATGGAGTAGGAGAATTGACTTGCACAAAGTCATTCAGTGATTTAGCAGCAGAGAGGGGACCAGCACTAAGGTCTTCTGAAGTCGTCTGCTCTCTTCACTCACTCATCATTCAACAAACATTTTGAGACCTGTCAAATACTATTCTAATAATGAGTAAAACAAGTTGCTTTTCTTGCGAAGCTTACATTCTGGTGGGAAAGACAGATGATAGACAAACAGGTAGATATATAGCATAGTGTAAACAGTACCATCTAGTAGAGTATACTGTGCAGTAGCAATAAGTCCTATGGCAAAAGGTACAGCTGGGCAAGAGGATGGGGAGGAGTGCAATGCCATGCTTTGCCAGATGTGATCAGGATGAGCCTCCCTGGAGAGGTGGTGCTGGCACCGGGACACAAGTGAAGAGATACTTTGTGAATAAGCTATGGGGACATCTGGGGAAGGACATTCTGAGCAAAGGCTCAGAGATGGGAGCATGCTTGGCATGTTCCAGTAAGGAGGTGGGTGCGGCTGTGGCACCATGAGCGAGAGGAAGCGGGTGCGTGGAACGTGGTCAGAGTGGCAGCCGAGGCTGCCTCACATAGAGCTTCATGATAACTCAGGTTTCTTTTTAGGTATTTTTGGTGGCCCACTGCAGAAGTTTGAGCTCGGATCACAAAGTCAGTGGCCTTTGGGCTCCAAAGCATGGGAAAACTGCCAGATCCTAATGAGTGAATTGGGAGAAGGAGCAGGGGAAGCAGTTTGATGGGTTGAGGGTTGGGGGAGCCCTGGACTGGCAGCCAGGAGCTCTGAATGCCAGTCCCAGCTCTTCTTGTCCAAGGCTCTTAGTTTCTTTCTGACTTGATCCAGTTTCATCGTTTAGAAGATCCAGCCATATACAACTTCATGACTCTGTGCCTTTAAAGTTCTGTGACTCTTTCTTACTTTACAAACAAAGCAAGCTCAGTCCCACTCAGAGCCCTCAATCCAGCGACTCCTGGAGGGCCTTTCCCAAACAGTCCCTTTGCCTCTTTGGGATCTCAGCTACAGTGTGATCTCTCCAGAGAGGTCTCTCCTGGCCCCTCATGCAGGGATTCAACTCTTGCTCTGTGGTAGATGCTGCCAGCGGCCTGCTCATTTCCACTCTCCATCACACACTGGCATTCCGCCTTATGGACTCACTGCACGTATCTGTTACTTTACCCATGTGTAAGGTGAGCTAGATGTTTCTTGGAGTTAGTATCCCCAGAGCAGCTCTCTACCAGTGACAGATGGAGAAGTTGTGGATAAATACTCCAGAGTTTTCTCCCCTGGGTGGGATAACAAACTGCAAGGTGTTTTCTACACCATGTCGAAAGGTCTGCTAATGATTGAGCTCCTGGACTCGACAGGGGTAAGTGCTTTGATTATGAGCCTTGAATCATGATCTCTTCCCTACTTCACTTCCCTAATTCCCTGCTGTTGTTTCTAGGATTGGCACTGAAAGAAACTACTTGTACTTGAGTCCTTGTCTTAAGACTTGCTTTTGGGAGAGCTCAATCAAGTCACAACCAGCACTCAGTCCATTCGGTTTATTCCTGTTAGTGTCTCCAGAGCATTTATTTCCATTTGAGGTTATCTCCTCCACTCAGTAGTTCCCTTATCTTTTGTCCTGCCCTTGGAACGCCATCTCCATGAGGGCAGGGACCTTTTCTGTGTGGTTCGCTAATGTGTTCCAGAACCGAGCACCTACAGCAGAGCCTGGCACAGAGCAGGTGCTTAATATATATTTGCTGAGTGAATGAGTGCAAGCCAGCAACTTTCTTCAAGTAAAAACAATGCTGATTAGCCACCACAAATACGATCAGCAGGCAGCAAATGCCAGTGGATGGTTTTTGTGGGTTGGAAAGAGAAGCTCAGGTTGGAAGCACCTTTTGAGATGAACTTTTCCTGCAGCCTCAGTTCACAGACTTTCATGGAGGTCTCCTGATTTGCACCATGGTTCTAGCGAGCTGTCCCAACAGGTGGAATCAAATTAGTTTTTTGTACCTAATACACATTCCAAAGCATTATACTACCTAAGAGTGCAGCTATCCCACCACTGGTTAAAAGCTAATGGACAGTTATAAGAGATTTCTCATAATTTTTAGACTTTAAAGAGAACATTTATTCATAAAGTAGCTATTGAGAGAATGAAATGGAAATTATCTCCTGCAGTCAAATTCTGTCACTTAAAAATCTGTAACAAGCTCCTGGGCATTTTGTCCTGACTGTCCTGTCTTGACCATAATGGAGGCTAAAGGAAATGGCAGAGTTTATTCAAACATAAATGCCACCTGACTCCATCACCAGAATGTCTGACTACAAGGTTACTGGAGCCCAACCTCAGTTACAGCTCATCAAACTGATGGGACTGAACTCCTCTGCTCCCCGAGGAGGAGTGGACAAAGAATGATAAGACATGCTCGCATCTGTGATAGTAGGTGAAGGAAACAGAATTAGGGAATAACACGGGGTCAGTGTACACTCATCTAATAACTTATGTCCTCCATCGTACGGAAGATGTCATGCTGGAATGGTAATCTTGAAACCCTACAATATCCTTAATCACAAAGAAATGAGCTTCTTACAGTTACTAAACTTTATTTCTCTGTAATACAGGAAAATGTACTCTTCCCATACAGAAAAGCATTCTTGACTGTGAAGGGGTTAACTATTTAATAAAGGTGTTAACTATTTGTCTGGTAGTGAGCTGGAGAATTCAACTTGCTCTGTTCCCCAGAGCATATCATTAAAAAAGGTTTGATTAAGTCATTTTCTAATTTTTATTGCATTTTTATTTAAAACAAAACCCAGGGAGGTAATATTTGATAATTAGTATATTTTTATTTACTTCATTTGTGCTACTAATTATGTAATATTATATAAGGATATAACATTGTTAATTATATTCTATTAAAGCTTCAAAGTTCGATTGTCACTACTCTCTTTGAGCTATTTTGCTTATTTTTATAACATGCCCCCAAATATCGAGTCCTTTGCTCTGTACACTGTGACTATGGAATAAAAATAAAACCCACAAGGTGCTCCTTTTCAAGTTATGCCATATGACAACTCCCGTCTCCCAGAGCCAGACCCCTTCCACTGCCCCTCCAGGCCTGCGCCAGAGGCGCTGTTCACAGAGGGACTCTTTCTCATCTAGAATGGGGCTTTGTGATGAGCTGTGTGGTCACTATGCTCCTGTCTGCTTCTTTAGGATCTTTGTGGCATTTCACACAGTCCCACGTGTGACTGATAAATAGGTGACATGAGAAGAATGCTCTGCCTATCATTTTAATGAATGTGCAAATAAACTGGCTGGTGTACTGCAGGCTCTTGGGACAGAGGTTCTTCACATGAGGGAAGCATCAAAATACTTCAGGGAGCTTTTCCACAATAGCTATCCCTCAGGATTGTCATGCAGTAGCCCGGAGAGGAGACTGGAGATCTGTATTTGTACAGACCTAATGCTAGTGAAGCAAAAGCCAAGGTTCAATATGTTAAATTATAGGCAGTCATTAGAAGAATTTCAAATAATAGCATAACCAACAAACATTGAGGATGGAACGTGGGGAGTAGTATGAAATAATTCATCATCTTTCTAATGGGGAGTCATTGATGTAATTAAAGTTGATACAGCAAGAAAAAGAGACATGGACATATGATGTAGACATGTGGGGAAAGTGGCCACCATCACAAAATGCAGAAGTTTTAAAATAGTTATTTCTAACAAGTGTGAGATTAGAGAGGCCAAACATTTGCTTTTATTTTATACCCTTCTGTTGTATATACTGCATTTTGCCATGTATGATGCACACAGAAATGTGGGTGTGCATTATACATGGGAGTATTATACCCATCATTATACCCATGGTATGGGATCATTATACCCATATATAATGTGCATCCTTATTTTTCCCTCAAAATTTGGGCAAAAAGTACACATTATACATGACAAAATATAGTAGTATGTGAGTATATTTTCTTTTTAGTGCTATTTAAAAATAAAAATTGGTTTCTGGCAAGGCACATCAAAATCAAAACTTTTGATGCGCCTCGCCAGCTAGGAATCATCTGTCGTCCCTGGAAGGTGGGAGAGGGGAGCAGTGGCAGGAGGGGAAGAGCAGTCTCTCGTTCTTTGTTGTGGTCTGGTAAGCGAGCC